AGCTCAACAAGCCTTCGAAACCATCAAAGAAAGGTTGACACACGCCCCCGTGTTAGCCTTACCGAGCTTTGAGAAACTGTTTGAGGTAGAATGCGATGCATCCGGAGTCGGGATAGGGGCTGTCCTCTCCCAAGAAGGCCACCCGGTGTCCTATTTCAGCGAGAAGTTGAATGATACAAGAAGGCGATATTCAACTTATGATAAGGAGTTCTATGCTCTTGTTCGGTCCTTAGAGCATTGGCGCCATTACTTGGTCAGCAAGGAATTCATACTTCACTCCGATCATGAGGCCTTGAAGTACATTCAAGGGCAACACAAACTCAGGCCCCGTCATGCCAAATGGGTCGAATACATTCAAACCTTCACCTTCACCATAAAGCACAAGAATGGAACCTTGAACAAAGGAGCCGATGCCCTCTCCCGGAGACACCTATCACTAACGGCCCTTAGTGCCAAAATTGTTGGTTTTGAATTTTTGCAGGAGCTGTATAAGGAAGACGAAGACTTCAAAGACACGTTCTCCAAGTGTCTTTTGCGGCCCCATGGAGAGTTCCTCATCAAAGATGGTTATTTGTTTCGCGGAAATCAATTGTGCATTCCGAAATGCAGCCTTCGAGAGACCCTCATTGAAGAAGTGCATGGAGGTGGACTTGCTGGTCACTTTGGCATAGAGAAGACCTACATGCTTATGCAAGAGCACTACCATTGGCCAAAGATGGAGTGAGACGTGGAGCACTACATCAAACGGTGCGCTGTTTGACAAGCCGCCAAGAGCCACTCATTAGCCCAAGGAAAATATCTTCCCCTCCCCATCCCCACGGCACCCTGGGAAGATATTAGCCTCGACTTCATCACGGGGCTGCCTAGAACACAACGAGGGAAGGACTCAATCATGGTCGTGGTAGATCGGTTTTCAAAGATGGCCCATTTCGTGCCATGTCTAACCACACATGATGCTTCACAAATCGCTGATCTTTATTTCCGCGAGATCGTCAAGTTACATGGAATTCCCCGAAGCATGGTATCAGATCGAGATAGCAAGTTCCTTAGCCATTTTTGGATGACACTTTGGAGAAAGATGGGAACCAAGCTCAAGTTTAGCACCTCTCACCACCCTCAAACCGACGGTCAAACAGAAGTGACCAACCGAACTCTCGGTACGTTGCTACGGGTGCTAATCAAGAGGAATATAAAGCAATGGGAAGAACTACTGCCCCATGCAGAGTTTGCATATAACCGGACACCTAGCAAAACAACCGGATTTTCTCCATTCATGGTTGTTTACGGCTCAAACCCCCTTACCCCACTTGAACTAGATCCTATTATGATAAAGCAGAAATACAGTGCGGAAGCCGAGGAACGAGCTAAAGAGATTCAAGACCTTCATGCCAAGGTACGAGAGAAGATTGAAGCCACCAATGAAAGAGTGAGTGCGCGCATCAACAATAGAAGGAAGTCTGCCGAATTCAAACCCGGAGACTTAGTTTGGATTCACCTCAGAAAAGAGCGTTTCCCCACGAAATGCAAGTCCAAGCTACTGCCCCGAGCGGACGGTCCCTTTGAAGTACTAGAAAAGATCAATGACAACGCTTACAAGATCAACCTGCCCGGAGAATATGGAGTCTCCGCCACGTTCAACATTGCCGACCTCAGTCCCTACTTTGAGCCAGAAGATATTCCGAGTTTGAGGTCAAACTCTTTTGAAGAAGGGGAGGATGATATACCCCAGGTTAAACCTTCACACACGCCACTAATATTAAAAGAAATCAAGTGTTTAATGTCTTGGTGTTATGATCCATTTTGGGTTGAACTCATTGATCCAGCCCACACCAAAACCCAAACCATGACTTATCTCTCCCAAAACCCAACCTAGGCCGAAATGCCTATAAAGCCCAACCCACTCCCACATATCCAAAGCATTTTTACTACTCAAATAAAGCCCTTTTCCTCTCCCTTGAAGCCCTGGCCGAAATTGAAAGGAAAGGTACAACCCAAAAATAATGTGAGTGTTGTTTTCTTCCCTAAATATTCCTTTCAACAAATAAGAACCTTCCCCATCCCTTCCTACTTCAAAATCACGAAAATATGCCCCCATTTGTCCTTAAAATCAGTCCCCATCCATCACAAACATTCCCCACTACAAGAGGAACAAACCAGGGGACAAGGAATAAAACATGTCTTTTGTCCTGTTGTGATAATACATCAAACCCACACCCTTTCACACCCCTTATGCCCCTGGCCGATTTCAGCCCCCCAAATATCCCATTTATCACCTTTCAAATCCACAATAAAACCAAAGGAATAAAGGATAATCCTTAATGTGTTATTCCTCATGTGTGGACCAAAAATCCAGCCCCTCACCTCACCCTTCACATAACCAAACCACCCCCTTCCCTCATCCTTCACATGGCCGAAATCCCCACACCAAAGACACCCCATTTTCACCCTTTAACACTGATCAATGAGGACAAACAAAAGGCATCAAACAAATGGATATTATACACTTGATTCTAGGAAAGTGGTAGGAAGCTTCCCCTTAGTTTCTCCCCCTTATTTATTTCGGCCAAAGGTCTTGTAATGCAGCACCAGTTGTAATTTTATTCCCTTTACTCTTTGAGTAAAATCTCTGAATTAGTGTGAAGCTAGTTCTCCCCATTTCCTAATGAAATATCTCTAAAGTTGGCTACTTTTGAGTGTGTGTTAGGAGTCTATTTCATATAATAGTAGTGAATATTATTGTGTGAAAAGAAATCGCCCCAAATAAAATAAGAGTGTGTTTATCTCTTATTCATTATTTGGTTTATCCTTATACAACCAGAAAACCACCACAAAACTCCCTTCTTTCTCTCCCAATTTCGTCCATCCCCTTTCCCCCATTCAAACACTTCATCTCTTCATCAAATACCACTCCATAATATTTCTTTTCTCCTGCCCTTCATTCTGCCATATCACCTTTTCCAAACAGCCATACTATCTTCACCATTTTATACTCAAACCCAACCTATTCTTCATCATATATTCCCCTCTATAATCTGCCCTTAGTTATCCATAGCCTTTTCCTAAGCTTGGGTACATCAATTTACGACAATCTATTCTTTGAAAGAATTAAAAGATACTTTGGAGATTCTAATAGTCTCAATTTATTGTGATTGATCTCATGTACATGTTAAGGATTTAAATTAAAAGACTAATGGGTACTAATTAATCGAAGGAATTAAGACGGGCCGAGTGGAAGTTATAAATGTTTGTCATTTGATTACAAAAGTTAGATCGTTGGGTAAGGATCAACGAATCGAATCCAACAATGCGCACGGATCTCAATTGGGCACAAATTAGCCCGAAAAGTGTGTTTTTTACTCTGGTTAATTTAAGTTATGGAGTACAAAATCGTAGGATATATGTAAATCGTTTTTTGCCCCTACGCCGCGACACTATTTTCTTCTTTTCCAAAGGGTGATAGCAACTGCTCTGGGTTCTTCTTTAATCGGGCAACGACGACCAAGGCAAATTGAAGTTGCTCTTGTCTTTTCCACCAACGATCAATGGCGACCCTAACAACAGTCAGGCGACGACGGTGATTTTGAGGGACGACGATTGGACAAGAAAGTGCAGCCACCCTCCCCTCTCCGATGACCAAGAGCATGGTGCAGCTCTAGACCTGGCAAAACAGAACCGGAACCGATTACCCGAATCAAAATATCCGAAACCGAAACCGGAATGATCCGAAAAATGAAGATTCGATCTATAACCGAAAACCCGAAATGATCTGAACCGAACCGAAACCGAACTAAATAATTCATATCCGATTTAAATCCGAAACCGATTAGATCCGAAACCCATAATATCCGAACCGATTAAACCCGAAACCGATTAGATCCGGACCCGATAATACCCGAAACCGATAAAATCTGAAACCGATTAGATCTGAAACCGATAATATCCGAACTCGATTAGAACTAAAATCGATAAATTCAGAAATATGTTTACCTTTCAATAAGCATATTATATTTTTAAATTTTTACTTTTATTTTACCATTTGAACTAGTTACATTACTTGCTCATTCCCTCATAAAATGGATTATCTTCTTGAAAAAAAGTACAAATTTTTATGCCTTAAATTTATTATATGTAGAAATTAAAGATAAGTTATACGTATAAATGATAACGCACAAACAAATAAAATTTCCGTAATTTTTAAATAGTGAAGTATGATATTCTTTTTGGGACGAAAGGAATATATATATGATGAATTGTATGGAATAATTAGATTTTATCCTAATTTCATCTCATTACAATAAATTTTATTGATTTGAGAGTTAATTTGATTAGTTTCAAGCCAATTCACTCAATATTAGTCAATAAAATTAAATGCTAGTGTTAGCATTTTGAAAAGACTCTCTAGCGACAGCCTTTACTGTTATCCTTTTCAAAATTGATCTACACCATTACATTTAGGTGTAAAATTAATTATATTTGACTCTATTAAATTTAATTTTCTCTATTTTCAACCAAATATACTCAACAATTTAGTAATTTTGCACTCAATTGAATAAAATTCACTTAATTTCACCCAATTTTACCCAATTTTTACCAAATTCTATTCAAATGGAACATAAGACTATTTGAATTTATTTTTTATCCTTTCATTTATATACATAAGTATATTAGTAGATGTGAGAAAATTTTTACATTTCAAAACTAAATTTTAAAATCAATTTAATTATATTAAATTTATATTATAATTAAATATATATGTTTTCATAATTTGTAGTCCAAATTTGTAAAATGTGACTAAAAAGTCAAAAGGGGAAGATTAGAAAATAATATATATCCAAAATATATTTGATCCGAAACCGAAATATATCCGAACCGAACTAGACCCGAAAACAAAATATATCCGACTCAAATTGTATCCGAACCGAAATCTATCCAAACCGATTTATAACCGAACCGTATCTGAACCGACTCGAAACCGAACCGAACCGAAAAATGTATAGAACCGAAATCAAATCCGAACCGAAATTTAACCGATCCGAACCGAACTAAACCGATTATAACATATAACCGAAAGATATCCGAACTGAAAAAATCCAACCTGAAACTGATCCGTTTGATCCGATTGCCACCTCTATGCAGCTCTTCTTCGACTAGCAATTGACGGTGGAACATCCTCCTAACGACATCGGCAACTGGCAGCGGCGTCTAGGAGCAGCATGCGGGTCCTGGCAGCAGCAGTGAAGTTAGACGCCAGCGAAGGCCGGGCGGTGAGTTGGCCTGGTCCATGGGGAAGGTGCTCCGGCGAACGACCTTTAGTGACCGGCGACGTCAAGGTACTAATCGATTGGGTTCGGGCAGGCCTTGGCAGAAGCGGGCTAGTCTAGGCAGCGGCGGTTATGCTCGGATGGCGTTGGGTGTTTCGAGGAGGCTGACAATGAGACCGGGCACCGGTGACAACCTTGGACAGAGGAGACGTTTTCCGAGATGGTCTTCCAGTAATGTTCGTAGGAATACGACAAAAGAACCAAGGTGAGTATGTGGACATCTAACACTAGAATATGCATATATGTTTGAAATTCCGTTCATAATTGTTATCATGATTGATTTGTATGGAATACTTCGTTGATTTGCTTGATTGTGGTTCCGGGGATGATAATGATTGAAATTCTGTTCATAATTGTTCTTAGAATTTTGGATATTCTCCATACCAAGACAATTGTGGGGATTATTATGAACATCATGGTGATCAAGATGATAATGACCAGCAAGGGCCAATATACGATGACCAGCCAGATCCACGTTTTGAAGAAATTCTGTGGATCGAGGAATAAATACATAATCTTGACCTAGCATTAGCGGTGGAGTGTTCATCATTTGAACTACCCTATTACCGTGATTACTCTCTGACTTGTGAAGAACAAATCGAAGTAAACAGAGATGCAATCCAGGAGAGAGAATGATTTCTTAAAATAGTCCAAGAAGAAAAGAAACTGATCCAAATTTAAAAAGAGTTGAAATTTGAAAGCGAACAATGCAAAAATTTGGAGCAGATGCAAAAGATGCTGGAAAATTTTAAGAAGGCTATGTGTTATACCCGAACCGGGGGTCTAAACGAGTTGCTATTTTGATGAGGAATCAAGGAATGATTCAGCTTTGAGTTCAGGGTTCTGGAGCAGGTGATAATCGATTTACACAAAGTGACAATCGATTATTGAAGGCTGCAGAATTTCTAGGGAAGCTGATAGTCGATTATCTGGAAAGGATAATCGATTATTGATCCCTGCAGGTGTTTCCAATGGGACTGATAATCGATTGTGGGGAATGATAATCGATTATTTGGCAGAATTCTGGGCAGGAAGAAGGGTGTTTTGTGGGGGAATGGACTGGAAATATATGGAGATGATCTCCCTCAAGAAAACCCATAAAATTAACCTTCTTTTCTCACTCTAATTCTTCTCTTTACCCCTCCATACTTTACCCTCTTTTAGTCCCTACCTATTTGGTTCAACCACTAATTCTCTATAATGTGTGAGAATCGGAGTGAACCCCAAACTTAGATCTTAAAAATTAAGATATGACACACTTAATTAAATATCTAGAACCTAAAACTCACACTTAAGATAACCACTCTTAAGATATAGAATTAGGAATTTGGCTAAAATAGCATCACACTATTTTATAAATACTCAAAGAGTAAAAGGGAGTTTTTATTATTCAAGGTGTGTTACAATGGCCATAGGGCCTGAGTTTATATAGGTACATAAAGGAGACTCTAAGGTCTCTTATTCACACAAATCAAAGGAAAACAGGAACCACTCATTGTTGTCCTTTTGGTGGGGTAAAATCAGAGATGGGGTGTGGTTGTAGGGTCTTTAGTGAAGGTACATTAGGGGGGAAATGAATGGCATCTCCTTTGGTGATTTGGAGGGGAATATTTTGGCCAAGTGGGAAGGGATTGTGCAGGAAATGGCTGGTTTTCTTTTGGGGGCTTCTTGTGGGTATTTTGTGGGGAACAAGGTGAGGTTTGATTGGTGTAATGGGCAGGGATTCTTGGCCAAGGGTGAAGGGAAAGGGGAAGGGAATGATGTGATTTTGGACTTATGGGTTTGGGATATTGTAAGGGGAATATGGGCAGGAATGAATGGCTAGTGGTGGGTCAGGTTTTTTGGCCTTTTGTGGGTGTTTATGTTGGGATTGTGAGATTTAATTGGCCAGGAAATAAAGGAAGGAGAGAGGGTTTTATTTGTTTATTGGAAAGGCTTAAAAGAAGGAAAATAATAACAAACAAAAGGTGGTTCACACATTCTTATTTTGGCTAGGGGCTAAAATAAGAGTAGGAAAACTTTATTTGGAGAAAGGAAATGTTTTTGGATCTTCAGGGTTGGGTGGGGTGTTGGTTCGGCCTAGGGGGGGTGTAGGACAACCACGGTGTCGGTTTGGGCTTTGAGATAGGGCAACAGAGTGAATTTAATCCAAATAACGTCGCCCCACTTCGGCCTCATTCTCTTGAACCGCCTTCCCTTTTGTGGGCTACGGAAAGTCTTCGTGGATGCTCCCGGATATCTAACACTATGGAACAACAAACTCTCCAGATTCAGCATCCACAAAAAAAAGATGGAGAAAGTTGTTGCTCTAGAAGAGGACGAAGAATCTGAGACAGAGTCTGAAACTGAATCCAACAATGTCTCAATTTTTTGAATATCCACAAACTTGATCATCACTGTATATCGAAAACAAGATAACAGTTGCAGAAATGATTGCACAAGGTGTGTTGGTGATGCTTCCTGAAAGCCCAAAAAGTCAAATCGTACAAGAGGTGAAGCATACCGAGGGTCCTGTCTCGAAACCGCCTTCATCCGCTGCACCAGAAATGCTGGAGGAACCTGTCATCCTAACATGTGTTGAAGACACTTCTCCAGAGGAACCTGTTCTGGAGAAATTTGAGCCCAAAACCGACCCCTTTGATTGTGACACTGATGAGTCAGACAAATCTATAAACGAGGAACTACCTTGTGATGCTGATCGAATCCATCCTATCTATAGAAGTTCTTGATGCTGAAATCTCACCGGAGGATTCAGACGAAGTTTTCTTCGACTCCCTACTTGACGGGTATGACCATTCTTACCCGAAGAAAAGTTATAGTCAATTGAGCTGGGACGAACTCTTGATGAGCAATACTGAAGACTCAGGGGAAGGCCATGTCGTAATCATTGAGCCACCAAGAGAAAGTCAGCACATTAGGGACTTGGAAAATTAGATCCTAGCCCTGAAGGCCAATGATGTGGATACAGTGAGGACACTCCCACCACCAACCATCCCAGACGAGTCTCCTCCATTTTTCCTGTTGCCACCAAGCCGCAAGAATGAGTCAAAGATCCTGGACTTTAACTGGAAAAGAACAGAACAAAGGTGGTATCAGAAGAGAGTAAAAAAGGTCAAACTTTATGACTCTCGGATTGGTAAGTCCCGTAAAAAACAGGCTAACGTCAAGCTAATGACGTTAAAGAAGCGCTTCTTGGGAGGCAATCCAAGTGAATAAATTTTATTTTTCTTTTTCCTTTTTACGCATTTTTGTGTGTTTGTGTGTGCAGGTGGAGCTTGGAATTAGGAATGCTGGTGAACCACTTTGACTCAACAAAAGGAAAATTGAATAACTTTTGTGCATAATATTTTCGTAAATTAAAACATTTTTAAAAGAAAAAAAAAATGAGAATTATCTCTGTCCCAAACTCTTGTTTTTATCGCTAAATGACCTCGAGGGCGAGGTCAACCCTGAGTGTGGGGAGATTGGAGTTTGGTACAGAATATTTTTATTTGTTTAGGACAAACTTTTTGAAAATATTTTTTATACAATTTGTTGCATTTTACATATTAATATTGATCTCTACACCGTGTACGGAATGATTGTATAAGCTGGAATGGTACTTAAGTGGACGCAAAGGGTGACGCCTTCGAGAGCCGAACTTGTCCCACCATTCCTACTGGGTCATTCTGTGGAAAGGTTTATTCGGGGGAGCCTAAGAGCACCTAATTGGTAGATTCTGCCCGATCACAAATACTCTAAATCGGTCTAGTTATCATTACTGATATTTCTTAAAATTGTTTTACATTTTTTTACTCATAGGTAGAATTATTTTTAATAGCCTCCTTATGCAAAAGTTAGCCAAAGTTTTAAATTTTTTTTTCTTTAAATTGCACATATAGTCTTTTTATTGGCTAACTTTAATAAGTTTTGTAAGTAAATAACTTTGGATACTAATGTGAGGGATGAATGAAATCATTGATTTAGTGAATAAACATTAACTTGTAAAATACGTTAAGGTCAAACATTTGTAACTTGTCATTTATTTTAAAATCTAAATGATGCTGTTTCGCTACTTCAAATTGAGTATGAGCAGTATATTTTTCTGAAAATTTGATATTTCAATGATTGCATTGTAAGTTTTGAAAACAAAAATTCAAAAATTCAAAGAACACACTTTGGTGAGACCAAGTTCTACAGTGAATTGAAAAATCAAAAACCATTTGGTTCTATGTCAAATGATGAGACTTATATTGAAGTGAGTGCCAAAAAGCATGCGGTTCCATGTTGTGTGATGAGGCTTTTGAGTGAATAGAAATCCAAAAAGCTCGTGATTCTATGTCATGGGATGAGGATCAAAGTTTTTGCTTCTGTCAACATGACAAAGTGAAGGTCTACAAAAAAATGCAAACTTACTCTTTGCATAGGAATAAATGAAATTTTCAGAAAAGTTATTTTTAATTTTTTTCCAATGTACATATTGTTGACTGATTTGCAGTATAGAACGAGCAAAAATAACAACTAAAAAGAATCCCTTGTAAGTAGGGTGTCGAACCTCAGGGAGACGTGAGTTAATTTAATTTAAACAAAAGTTTACAAAAGAAGTTGTAAAATATTTTGGTCTTTTTGGTTTTAAAGATAAAATAAAAAGTGTAAAAGAAGAGAGTTCCAAACAACACAAAGTTTTTGATGATAAAAAGTTAGGGGTAGAAATTGGTAAATTAATTGTCCAATGTTTTTATAAAAGTTGGATTGTCAATTTATTTNTCCCTTGTAAGTAGGGTGTCGAACCTCAGGGAGACGTGAGTTAATTTAATTTAAACAAAAGTTTACAAAAGAAGTTGTAAAATATTTTGGTCTTTTTGGTTTTAAAGATAAAATAAAAAGTGTAAAAGAAGAGAGTTCCAAACAACACAAAGTTTTTGATGATAAAAAGTTAGGGGTAGAAATTGGTAAATTAATTGTCCAATGTTTTTATAAAAGTTGGATTGTCAATTTATTTTTATATAGAATGTGTGGAGTTGTAGAAAAATATTTAGGGACGCTCTCGCAATTCACCTAAATAATAACTACTCCGACTTTAACACGCTAATGATAAATCCGGAGTAATTATTTAGTAACAACGGCAACCATAATTATTTTACTGTATATTTACCCAATTTAATGGTGTAAAAATACAACTCAATAATTATTTCCACCCGAAAGTCTTCAATCCCGGTTAAAGGTAGAGAAGGTTTACGGTGTATTTAAAAAGTGTTCTATTTTATGATTATATCAATTTTAGCTCATATTCCTTGTAACAATTATGTTTATGATTGGGCCCTTAATTAAAAATCACAAACATTTCAAATTTATTTATTTTTAAATACAACATCTAAGTAAAAATAAAATCAACAATCCATGTTAATAATATTTAAAACATTAAGATGGACAATTAATTACACCAACTTCTAACCCCAATGGAATTTAGAAGTTCATAGTTTGAAGCTTAAACAAATAAATATTTATTAGAATAATAAAAATCTTACAAAATGGAAGATGTGTTCTTGAGCTCCAAATATGATAAATGATGATGAAGATGGAGTAATTTTTATGTGTTTGGATGAAGAAAGTGGTGAGATATTAGTGAGGAAGAAGAAGAATTTCGGAAATGGAGAGAGTAGAGAAGTGGGGGGTTCCAACCTCTTTGAAGAAGAGAAGGGTTGGGTTTTTATAGATAAATTCGTATATACGGAGTATATAAAAACATTTACACATTTGATCAATACAGCTACAGTAATGCACATGGAAACGCAGCTGGTTGTCTTGCCGCGTGACCCGTGTTCGAAGCTTCCCACCGTTCACTGTTTTGTCATTTTTCTCTCTCGATCCATGGGCCGAATTTGAAACAGAAGATAAAGAGTGTCCGCCAGTTAAATGACCATTAATCAGCTGTGGCGCGATGGTCCAAGTTGCTTATACACACACCGAAGTCCAGTGTTCGAATCCCCGCTTCTAATTTTTCCAGTTTTTAGATTTATTTCTTTCTTTTCTTCAAATCTCTTCTATTTATTTTGGTTCCAAACTTCCATGTTTATTTTCTGTTCTTGAAATTGTTCTCAATGCGTCCAAATGACATCAAAATACCTGCAAAACATATAAAACCAAGCATAGGACCGCTCTACCCAAATAAAACGGAAAATAAACATAAAATGTAAACATTAATTCAATTGGGACTTAAAACTCCTTCAAAATATGCCTAAAAAGTGTATAAAATATGTGCATATCATTGACCTTAAATTATTTTGCAGTTATTATAAAACACTTACAATTCTTTTGTTTTAGACTTTAGTATCCAAGTTTGTAAATGGACAACTTTTACATTTAGCCAATACAATTATTTTTGTGCATCTTTTAGAAAAAACAAATAAAAATATTTTGCTAACTTTTTTTGTAAAAAGGGTGCTATTTCTAGTAGTTCTATTTTTGTAAAGATTAAATAATGTAAGAGACATTTGTGTAACAAATTGTTTTAAAATGTGGTCAATAGTTTTTCCAAAATATTTTTGTAAATAAGTGTTTGATCCAAAATTTCATTTGTTGTTGTACTCTTGAGGGCAATCAACGCTTAAGTGTGGAGAATTTGATAAGTCCGTTTTGTACGCACTTATATTCTCTATATTTAATGTGTTATTGTCCAATTTTAGATCAAACAAATCAATTTCTCAATGATTTTTATAAGTTTTTATTCATAATTGTAAAAGTGCACAAAAGTTATGTCTAGTTTTAAAAAGAATAAAAATTGAGTCAAAAGTGGTACAAAAGTGTAAAAGATTGTGTAAATGGAATGCAACGGAGCAGGGAGACAAAAGATGGTGAAAATCCATGAAGTGAGAAGTATATATTCAATTGTGGAGATACACCCTGTCAAAAGATTTGAGGTCAAACGGATTGAAAATGTACCAAAAAGAAGTTGTTGAAGTGAAAAAGTAAAAAAAAGTGATTTAATTCAAAACTAATTCGTTTGACCCAAATTAGTTCGGAATTTGAAGTCGGCGCAGAAGAAAAAGTTGTTCCGAATAAGATTTTGAGCAAGATAGTATTTTTAGAAAAAAAATTTCGGAATGCATAAAAATCCGGCCAACCAAGCGCTGCCATGTGGCGCAACCTGGCCGGCCAACTACAGCAGCCAGTAAGTGGGGGGTGTCCTGTATCAGTTGTCAGCCACCATCATCATCACATAAAAACATAAGATTGAAAGAAGAGAAGCACAGGAAGAAACAAAACAAAATAATACTCTGATCTCTTAATCAGCAGCCATGCGCACAATACCGGGCGGGCGCCCCGGGACCTCGCCCCAGAAAAATCTCAGCCTATATAAGGTGGACCACCGATCTCCATTCTTCACTAAGCTTTCTTCCGGGTCTCTTAAGGCCCGGACCCAATTTCCAGCTCCAGTTCTCAGTTATATTTTAATATTTTAGTTTAGTTTTGTTCTAGTTGTCCCAAAGTGGCCCCGACTCTGCTCTCGGTTGTAAGATTATTTTTACAACTTTTAATAAAATGTTTTTTTATTTTATACGTTGTTAATATTTAGTATGGGTTAGAACCCAAATTAGGGTCCTGGATAAATTTGGGCATATATATATATATATATATATATATATATATATATATATATATATATATATATATATATATATATATATAGTTTGGTTCTGGTGAGAATAAGATCTTATGAAAGAAATAAGAATGAATCTTGGCCCTTAGATGGAACACTATTCACTGACTCTTTTATTTCAATTATATGGGGCATTTTAGTATTTTTCCATCTCTCGATTCTCTTTCGTCTTTATTGTATTTATGGATTCCCACAAGATCAGGCAATTAGGCTTCGTTCCGTTCAACTTATTTTTTCTGATCTGATCTTATTCTAATAAGTTCTGATCTGGTCTAATGTGATCTGATCTGATTGGATCTGATCTGATCCGATCTGATTGGATCTGATCTGATCTGATTGGATTTGATCTGATCTGGTCTGATCTGATCTGGTTTGATCTGATTAATTATGATTTAATTTAAAATTTCAAATTAATTATTTAATTTGAGTTTATAATAACGTTTGAAAATTGTAATGATAATTCATATTATAATATAAATTATAATCAATATTTTTTATTTAATGATTATTTTTTAATAAAATAAAAATAGTTAATTCATATATTAGAATAATCATTCATATGATAATGTAATAGTATTTTTTATTTTATGATAATTTTTTTTGTAAAATTATAATTATACATTATAATAAATATTTAATTTAGATATACATTAAAAAGTAATTAAATTTAGATAATCAATATATAGAAGAGATAGTATTTTTATTAAAATATCTCATCCTTATAAAAGATCAAAAGTTTAGAAACTCAAATTACAAGTAGCAATAAAAATATATTTTAAAAGTAGAATTAGATTGACATTGTCAATGTATTTTAAAAATAATTTTTCCGACGTCTAATAATTAAGGATTACTTTCTAAGTTTTCTATTTAACATATTTCTAAAGTTTATTCTTTTTCATTTTTAAAAACAATAATAATAATAATGATGATGATGATGATGATGATGATGATGATGATGATGATGATGATGATGATGATAATAATAATAATAATAATAATAATAATAATAATAATAATTCTTGATGAGATCTGATTTTAATAAGTTCTGATCTGATCTGATCTGATTGAATCTGATCTGATCTGATTGGATCTGATCTAATCTGATCTGATTGGATCTGATCTGATCTGATCTGATCTGATTCGATCTGATCTGATCTGATCTGATTTTAATAAGAATATGAAAAAATAAGAAAAAATAAGTTGAACGGAACGAGGCCTTACTCCGTACTTTTTTCCTCATGACTTGTTCCATTTTTATACATAGCATTAATTTTCAATCAAATTTTGCCTTTAATTTAACACAGAGTATTTCTTTAATCACAGTGAGAAGGAGACGAAGAGGACAGATGTGGGCCAGGGAGACGAAGCAAGATCCGTAGATGTGTGATAAGTTCAGAACCAGGACATGAAAGAAGAGGCAGAAAAGAAAGGAAAAGAGAGAGGTGGGGCAATTTCAATATATTTCCTGATGATCCATAAACGAGAGAGTACACTTCTTAAATAATGGTGAATGTAACTACTTGCTAAACTAACTCCTACAAATATGCAGAATTGTGGTTGTGTAGCTTATTTGACCCAGTACTCCACTAACTCCTACAAATATGCAGGATTTGTGGCTGTATCTTTATTTGACCCACTACTCCACTAACCAACAAAGACTAAGTCACTAAAGAAACATTCAACAATTAAAATAGACAATTAAATAAAAGAAATAAATAAAATAGAAGTGAGGAAAGTGACCACATGAGTGCCCCTACGTCCCATGCACATATCATTGCCCCCTCCCTCAAGCACCTTGCCCGCAAGGTGAAAAAAAGGGTAAGACTTCTGGAAACGCCATTCACTTTCCCATGTAGCATCTTCAACCAGGCCACCCACCCATTTAAACAAGATTTCCTCTCGAGGCCGATACTTTCCCTTTTGAACCACCCGGCGGTCCAAGATTTTTTCCGGTTGTGGTTCTACAGTAGATGCATCCGAGACGGTAGGGAGAGGTACGGTTGGTGAGATGAGCTCTCCGAGATGTAATTTGAGCTTGCTAACATGAAAGACATTATGAACTTGAGAGCCCGCTGGCAACTCCAACTCGTAAGCCACCGGACCAATGCGTTTAAGCACCCTAAAGGGCCCATAGAACCGAGGAGCAAGCTTGTTGGACAGCCGTCGTTCCACTGTAACCTGCTTGTATGGTTGGAGTTTGAGATAAACATAGTCCCCGACTTCAAAAGTAACCTCGCGACGACGTCGGTCTGCAATGTTCTTCATAGAATTCTAAGCCTGCAAAAGATTTTTCCTCAAGTCTTGTAGCAACACGGTGCGCTCTCGTAATCCTTTATTTACTGCTTCCACCTTGGTTGTACCCGATTCGTAAGGGATTAGACGAGGTGGAGGAACCCCGTACACCACCTCAAATGGAGATACCTTCGTAGACGAATGGACCGAAGTGTTGTAGCTATATTCCGCCCATGATAACCACTCGACCCAAGACTTGGGACGATCACCGGCAAAGCAACGTAAGTACTGTTCGAGGGTGCGATTTACAACCTCGGTTTGCCCATCCGTCTGAGGATGATAGCTCGAACTCATGCTCAACGTAATACCCTGCAATTTAAACAAAGTCTGCCAAAAGGTACTCATAAAAATCTTGTCTCGATCACTAACAATGGAAATTGGAATGCCGTGCAAGCGAACCACATTGTTGACAAATGTCTTAGCAACTGAGACAGCTGTAAATGGGTGTTTAAGGGCTATGAAATGGGCGTACTTGGATAACCGATTAACCACCACAAAGATTGTGGAGTAGCCACTGGAAACCGGAAGACCTTCTATGAAATCCATAGAGATAGAAGTCCAAATCTGTGTGGGAATCTCAAGTGGTTGCAATAGGCCAGGGGTCTTAAGGTGATCTGCCTTGAACCTTTGACATATGGAACACTCCTGTATATAAGTTTTGACCATCTTCCTCATCCCAGCCCAATAAAAGTCTCGCTTTGTTCGAGCGAGTGTCTTTTGATAACCAAAGTGACCACCAACGGGTGATGCATGACAATCATGAAGGACCTGAAGAAGTAAGGACGAGGAGGGGCTTAAGATAACCCGTCCGGCTCGGAACCAAATCCCATCCCTGAATGTGAGCCTCGAGTCATTTTTGGAATCAGCCAGTGCTTGAAAAAAAGGGTCAGTGGCATTTTCCTCCCGTACTTTTTGCCACCAATCAACTTGTGAGCATGAAATAGCTAAACAATTAGCCTCTACCAACCTGGACAGTGCATCAGCACCCCGATTTTCTGCCCCTGCCTTATACACGATTGAATAGTCATAACCGAGAAGTTTAGGTAACCATCTAGTTTGAGCTGGGGTCGTGATCCGCTGCTCCAGGAGGTATCTCAATGCCTTGTGATCAGTTCGAACGACAAATGGCTTGCCCAAAAGGTAGGGTCGCCACTTTTTCACTGCCTTAACCATGGCTAACATCTCCTTTTCATATGTTGATAAATGGCGAGCTGAACCTTTTATAGCCTCACTAAAGTAGGCAACTCGCCTTTTTCCTTGGATTAATATGGCACCTAGACCGCCACCACTTGCGTCACATTCAATTACAAACGGACGGGTCCAATCAGGTAGTTGAAGAACTGGGGGAGTAGTCATGGCTTCCTTCAAACGAGAGAAAGCCTCTTGAGCCTCTTCTGTCCACTTAAACTCTTCCTTTCCCAACAACTTAGTTAAGGGAGCAGCCAAGGTCCCGAAGTTACGAATGAACTTACGGTAGTACCCGGCTAAGCCCAAAAAACCTCGGACCCCCTTTGCATTTGTTGGGGTAGGCCACTCGAGCACTGTAGCTATTTTGGAGGGATCCACTGAAACCCCTCGTTCGGATATCACGTGTCCCAGGTAGGCAACCTCTGAAACACCAAAAGTGCATTTGGACTCCTTAACAGACAATCTGTTAGAAGACAATATGTGCAGAACCCGACGAAGATGATCGAGGTGATCTGACCACGATCTTGAATAAACAAGAATATCATCAAAAAATACCAAGATGAACTTACGTAAGAAAGGTCGGAATAAGTCATTCATGAGACCTTGGAAGGTAGCAGGGGCGTTAGTGAGGCCGAAGGGCATGACAGTGAACTCGTAATGACCCTCGTGGGTTCGGAAGGCTGTCTTTGGAATGTCCTCTTCTCGTACTCGAATTGGATGGTACCCTGATCGTAAATCTAGTTTTGAGAATATCCGTGCACCTTGGAGCTCATCAAGCAGTTCATCAACTATGGGAATTGGATACTTATCTTTGATTGTGAGCTCATTCAAAGCTCTATAATCAACACAAAACCTCCAGGTTCCGTCATGCTTTTTGACGAGGAGAACGGGAGAAGAAAACGGGCTGTGACTTGGACGAATAACCCCCGATTGCAACATCTCTTGGACCATTTTTTCCATCTCTTCTTTTTGGTAGTACGGGTATCGATAAGGGCGAACGCTAACCGGACCAGCATTGGGTTTTAATATAATCCGGTGGTCATGCCTGCGGTGTGGGGGTAATGAAGAGGGGGGCTGGAAAACTCCCTTAAAGTCGGCCAGAAGCTGTTGTAGCTCCAAATTCTCTGTGGGGGAATTTGAAAGTGGTGTAACAGTGCATAACTCAACAGTGCATAACTCAATCTGGAACAAGTACCCCATTCCATGCAAACTTTGAAGTTCCTTATCTGTCAAGGCTTCAGTTGAGTTGGGTTGCTTGATGCCTTCTAACGAATGGGATGAGTCCCCAATCTTGAACCGCAAAGTGAGACGTTGATAGTCCAATTCGACTGGCCCAAGTGTCTTCATCCATTGAACCCCAAGAACTATCTGGCATGCAGCTACTGGTAGAACGTAGTAGTCGGTAGTGATGTTATAGCCTTGCACGGTTAATGTGAGGTCTCGGACTAGACCGACACATGAAATCCGTTCCCTATTAGCCACCATGACCTCAAACATTTCCTCCCGATTGATTACGAGTCCGAACCTGGTAACCAAGGAATGTTCAATGAAATTATGGGTGCTTCCCCCGTCAACAAGGACCATAACTTGTTTGTTCCCGATTTTCCCCATGAGCCTAATTGTCTGTGGATGCATGGTACCTGTTATTGCATGGAACGAAACTTCAGGCATGTCATTTTGGGGTACAATTTCAACAACCTGATCTGCGGGTTCTATCGATTCTTCAACTGCGGCCTCACAAATCATACACAATTGAGGCTTGGAGCATCGATGACCTGGGAAGAACTTCTCGTCACAATAGTAACAAAGACCCTTGTCTCGTCGCTCCTTGGCTTCAGCATTAGTGATGCGTCTGACTGGATTTTGAGAGGGGGCAGCAGGCTTGGCTGGTGATTGTGCATTCGGATGCGGGCCCAATAGTCCAGGGCTGGACGGGGTTTGAACGTGCAGATGAGCCGGCGGGTGTGAAGCGATTGTTTGAGGGCTGCCTTCTTTGAGTGTTGTTCTTTTCTTCAATTACGCGGGCTACACCTATGGCTTCAGAGAGATTCTTGGGTTTCTTTACTTTAACATCATATCGTATCTCCTCCTTCAAACCGGCTATATAGCAACCGATAAGAAAGGGTTCCGGAAGGCCATCGACACGATGGGAGAGCTGTTCGAATGACTCTGTGTAGGCAGCAACTGTAGTTGTCTGTGTCAGGTGAGAGAGTGCTCCAGACGGGTCTTCAAAATCGGTCGGGCCGAAGCGCTGCAAAACTGCTTGAGTGAGTTCCCCCCAGGTGAGTGGTCCTTTGAACTTTGTATACCACCTGTACCACTGTAGGGCAATGCCCTCCATGTGAAATGAGGCTAAGGAGACTTGTTGATCAACAGGAATCTTGGCAAACTCGAAGTATTGCTCTGATAAGTAAAGCCATCCAATCGGATCATCTCCGGTAAACTTTAGAAAAAACAGTTTGGTTTGGGGTTGACTATTGCCGACATGAGTGAACGGCGATGTGCGGTGATGAGTGGATGACCCAGACGAGTCGTTGGAACGGGTCATGTTAATGGAGGTTTCAAGGGACTGCATTTTCTCGAGAAGTGTTTGGACGGCAGCAGTTAATTGTTGGTTACTGCTAGTGAGGTGGTTTAGTTGGATTCCATGTTGGACGAGGGTGTCACTCACCTCTTAAGTCTTATCATGTTGAGCCTTGTTGCGGGTTTCCATTAAACCAGGCTTTGATACCAAATGATAAGTTCAGAACCAGGACATGAAAGAAGAGGCAGAAAAGAAAGGAAAAGAGAGAGGTGGGGCAATTTCAATATATTTCCTGATGATCCATAAACGAGAGAGTACACTTCTTAAATAATGGTGAATGTAACTACTTGCTAAACTAACTCCTACAAATATGCAGAATTGTGGTTGTGTGGCTTATTTGACCCAGTACTCCACTAACTCCTACAAATATGCATGATTTGTGGCTGTATCTTTATTTGACCCACTACTCCACTAACCAACAAAGACTAAGTCACTAAAGAAACATTCAACAATTAAAATAGACAATTAAATAAAAGAACTAAATAAAATAAAAGTGAGGAAAGTGACCACATGAGTGCCCCTACGTCCCATGCACATATCAATGTGAATGCATCTTCGCCGATCTAAGATTGCAACAACTGTATTTGGGTTGTCCGAGTAGCGGTAACGGTGGTCGGCCACTTCTGTTGACTCGGGTAAGGGCTAAGCTGGGACGATGTTGGCTCATATGTGGCGGCAACACTACTCTGCATCAGCGAAAAAATGTTTGCAGGGTTAAAGATGTGTTCCATTTTTATACATAGCATTAATTTTCAATCAAATTTCGCCTTAAATTTAACACAGAGTATTTCTTTAATCACAGTGAGAAGGAGACGAAGAGGACAGATGTGGGCCAGGGAGACGAAGCAAGATCCGTAGATGTGAATGCATCTTCGCCGATCTAAGATTGCAACAACTGTATTTGGGTTGTCCGAGTAGCGGTAACGGTGGTCGGCCACTTCTGTTGACTCGGGTGAGGGCTAAGCTGGGACGATGTTGGCTCATATGTGGCGGCAACACTACTCTGCATCGGCGAAAAAATGTTTGCAGGGTTAAAGATGCAAATATCCCTCCCCCCCAGGACCAATTTTTTTGACTCGCATAAATGTTGTTTAGAACTCTTGTTTTGGGTAGGCTATATATATATAATTTTCTTAATAAAAACCCGTTTTCAATGTTATACACGAGTATTAAACCAATTTTTTAATCTACCATTCTTTTTAAATCTATTATTCTTTTTATTACAAATTTGTTTTGAATCATGTTAATCATATAAAAAATCCTCTTGCAATCTCCAGTCTAAATTATTTTATGATACACTACATCACTTTTTGGAGTTTATATATACTATGCATTTAGAAGCACTAGTAAACGTTCAAAACACGTTCGGGGGGACCTGACCTAACCCCGAAAGTAAGGAATAATACAAAGAAACACAAAATCCAATGAAAAGGAAAGGTAGCACCAATAAGGACAAAAGCTTAAACTCTTACATAGTACCAAATCTAGATGTCCAACTATCCTCGTACTCACTCCAAGAAACTTGGAAGTTAGCCATCTCCTCTGCGATACGAGCATTCACCATTCCTCTGTGGGTCGATCTGAAGCGTAGGAACTCTTCCTTTCAATTCTTTCCCAGACAAGAAGAAGAAATTGAAACCCAGGTTTGCTAGATTATTATCCCTTAGCATCCATTTTTTCCGTCTATTTTTCCAGCTCCAATCCTTGAGTGTATTTAGAATTTTGTAGCGAACCTTGTTGATGTTAATGAAACCATTGTCGTGGATTATTCTATTGTATTCCTTCCAAATGTGCCATACAATGATCCCTGGGAGGATGATGTGTAGTTGACCTTTGAGTGTCCTTCTTCTGTGGGATAAGTTCCATTCCATGACGTGTTGGTTTAGGGTTAAAGATTGTCTTGATCTTGGTCCCTCTACTGCTTTTGCAAAGAAATGCCACAGATTCTGGCTCCAATTACACTGTAGGAAAACATGGTCAATGGTTTCCTCATTGTTCTTGCAGAGGTGGCAGATAGATACTACATTAAACCCCATGTCTTTTAGGTTATCAGAGAACGGTAGATAACAGTTCAGTGCTTTCCAAAGGAAGAATTTTACCTTAGGGATTTGAGCATTATTCCAACAGTATGAAAAATTGAGTTGAGTAGGCTTAGACATTCTACAAATGTTATAGGCTTTTTTAAGTGAGAAATCCCCCTCACCCCAGCTGATGTGATCTCCTTCCTCTAAAGTATGTTCCCTTGCAGTGGTATTGATTCTGCAGATTCTCTTCCAAGTTGGAGAGTCATAAATTCTTTCCTTAAAATCATACTGTCTAAGGTATTTGATTCTCATGAATTTAGCCCACTTAGTGTTGTCTGTTTGAACTTTCCACCATAGCTTGATGGAGTAGGCTTCCTGTAAATCTTCTAGGCTTCTCAAGTTAAGTCCTCCTTCATTAGTTAGTCGACAGTTGTAGTTTTTCGGGTAGTAAACCTTCCGAGTAAAGGGTTATTTTTCTCTCTGAGTGTCGTATATCTCGAGGAGTGGACGAAGGGAATTAATGTAATTACTCTAATTACTCTAAATTAAAACAACATTTTATTAAATAGAGTAAACTTACAACTTCCGTAAAAGCGGAACAGAACAGATCGGGAGTCAAATCCTCCAGAAAATACTTAAAAATAATAACTAAACTAATCTACAATGAAATATTGAGCAATTTGAAGGGGAAACCCGAAATGGGTTGTGAGATTGGATGATAAAAATGAGAAGAATCGTGCTGTATTTATAGGAACGAATCCAAGGCGTCCAAGTCAAAGCGTCCAAGTCCAAGCGCCCAGATCTGGATGCCTGAGCAGTCCCGGCCAACCAGATTTTGCCAC